CGTCGGATCGATAAAAGCGCGGCTGCCGCGTAAACGTAAGCGGATTAAGAGTATAATTTTGGATTATCTCGACGACGCTGGAAACCCGCGTATCGTTGAAACGGGTGAGTCAGGCGGATTGTTGGCCGTGGTAGCTGCCGCTAGGAATTTTCGTCGATAACGCTCTCAGACACATTCGGCGACAGACATGTCGGAATCCCTTATCGAGGTTTTTCCTGTGACGATAATCGGTTCGTTGCCGTAACGGGAGAGGGTCTCTTTGCGACGCTACTCTTCTCGCTTCCTCCAATTACACGTATCACTTATTCGCGTATACTCTCTGTCGTCGCTTATTTACGCGATACACATCGCCGTCCCCGTGCGTTCCTTTGCGACACGTCGCCGCGCGAACACCTTGCGAGAACACCTTCTTGCTTGCGCGATCCTGACTCACCAAATCGTTGGAACACGTGTTCGTGGATTGGACACTACCTGGCCGGGGATTAACCCGTTTACCGGTGTACTGTGATCGGTAGGTGGTTGTACACGTGTCCAGATTTGTAGTGGATAGAGACTGTGTGCTTGCGACAACGTACCGTTGACGATGCGTTGAAAAAGAAGAAATTAGAATATTTTTAAGATAACGAAAATTGTCTAATGTTGAACCTTTATGTCGGTAACCTGGTACCTGGGTACCATTTTGAACACTTTCTCACTTAAAACATTTCTTGAAAATAATGAAAATTGTCTCGGGTACGTATTTTGCACATTTCCTCGCTTAATTATTTGTGTCGATAACCTGGTACCTGGGTACCATTTTGAACACTTTCTCACTTAAAACATTTCTTGAAAACAATGAAAATTGTCTCGGGTGCGTATTTTGCACATTTCCTCGCTTAATTATTTGATCTTCTCGGTAAAAGATTTTAACACCTCGACTTGTGATCTCTTTTTTGATTATGTATCTAAGCGTCAGCCATTTAGCGTTTCAGTACTGTGTTAGGTAACGAACGCTGATCTGTTACAGATTAATTAAGTTTACTATTCTTTAGTCTTATGAATTAAAACGAAAGATAGGATTAGATTTAACTTTTCTTACTGATACAATTATTTTTCTCACATCGTGACCAAAATCTCTGCCACGAGTCTGCCACGTTGTTAAAGTTTAAAGGGTTGATATCCGGCCAGATCGTTGTTTTTAAGTTTAGAATTTTCTTACCAGAAAACTACTGAATTTAAACGATGAAGTAAACGACCATTGTGATTACTGACACAAGGGTTAAGAAAAAAATTGAAAGTATCGCGTCTCTGAGTCACTTCTTTTTAATTATTGATCAATCGGTTGCGCCACTGTTGCGCAACCGATAGCATCCGCGACGAGGAGGTTCACGGATCGCCGTTTAAAAGTAGATGCAATCAGATCGATGGTGATTTGCATGGAATAAGCTTTACGACCGGGCGAAGAAAACACGACGCGCAGTTACGATGCAAAGCAGCCTGTGCATTCTAGCCGAGTCCGTTTCGTGTTCACGATGATATTTGAACAACCATGGAAACCAACCTTTCCCCTGTTCACGGTCTCATTCGACGCTTTGCCAATCGGACAGGTTCGCAAAAAAAAAAAGAAAAAAGAACCGCATGAAAAACGTCAAATTCAAAATTCGATTATGCTTTGACAGGCTGCAATTATTGTAATTACGTTCTAAAATAAGCCGACCAGAAATTTCATGATTTATACGCTCCAGATTCTTCCTAATCCGATAATTTATGTGAAACAGATTTAGTAATCATCTTATGGATACTATTGACTCGCTAATACCGTCGCTTAATAAATTATGAATTAATAATTTGCCTCGATAGTCAGCAACAGGTTTCACCGATATTCAGGTATACAATATTTTATTGTACAGTTTGTCGCTCCTTTTTTTTTTTTTTTACCTCGTTTCTGCGACTCTCGAGCGCGTTTGACTTTTTGTCACAGAATCAAACTGGTTCCGCGGGATCGTGTAATAGGACACCATAAATCTTCCTTTTCTCATCAGAAATATTTTACTCTTCCTTACTTCCGCAATTAATAGATCTGCATCGTTATTTCTTCACGGTGAAAATCGAGCAAAAAAATTAAGAGAAAAAAAGAAGCGCTACTCGAAACGCATATTATTCGCGAACGATGTTGCAGAAGAGGGGAGAAGCGAACACGAGTATCTACAACACGAGGCTGACAAGTGTTCAGGAACGCGTTCGGAATACCGGTGCGCCGAAGAAACCATAGAAAATCGTTCCACGTTCTATCGTTCCCTTTCGACGCTTACCACTCCGTTTTACCGCTCGAAATGTATCTCTCTCGTCCATTACATTACGTGAGAAGGCGTGTTTACACGGTGTGAGAGGCGTCGCGGCTTCAGGACGGACCAATCGATGATTTCTCCAGAGTCATTAACTCATATAACGAATGATACTGGGAGCGGCGGCGTTACTGACCAGTGTGATACCGCCATGCTATACGCTTGTCAATCGGGACCGAAGAAATCGTGGTCGGGTAAGTATCACGATCGTAAAATAGGCAGCTTTTCTCCTTCGTTTTCTACTTCTTCGTAATTAATTCGTAATTAATTACTAATGAACACTACGATCGCTTCGTTTTCAATTTCTGTTTGCTTGGCAAACTTGCTGGTCTGTTTAACGTTGGTCCGAATGAAAATTTCAATAGTATGATATTGGGAAATAGAAAGTTATGGCAATTTGGAAGATGTGGTAAGGTGCAAAGACGTGCAATGTGTGCACTTAGTTAAGACTATAATAGCCTAATCAGATGGAGAGTCAGATAGAAATTGTAAGGGGAAGAGTGAGTGTGATTGATAATGCTCGTAGATTTTAAATTGTCGGTTGTCCTGTACACGATACTGTTCTTCATTGAATAACATGCAAAACTGGTTCGTCGAAATAATTGAATTTATTCTGGTTTTTTGTTCGATCGTACGACTGTGGTAAATTTACTATAATTATTCTAAATTTAAATAATATAAAAATGTAGTTTTTTTTATCCTGGGAGAACTGGGGAGCGGGTAGGGTGACTCTTCGGTAGCTTTCCAAGTCAAGCTGCATTCCTCGCGACTAATGTTAAGGATGGGTGACCGTCAACGTTGGAAAAAAAAATTTATATTTGTAATTTATATGTATACGGGAGGGTCTAATATAATGTGTAGTATAAATAATAATATATAACAAATACTGTAATATACTATAAATAACTGTAAATATAAATACCATTAAAATCGTATAAACGGTAAACGCCATTTAAAAATCGCTCGGTTGTCTCGACCCTCGTCTCATCCTTATCGTTTATTCGTTGTCCTTGCCTTCGTTCGGCAACAACTCCTCTACCCAAACGGACGCCTTTCGGTTTCGACCAGAACGACAGTGTGAGGGATATTACTGTATTCATAATTTGCAAACCCGAAAATGAAGCAATTTTTTCTCAGTTTTCACTATAAAGTATGCAAAGGTTTATTTTCTGTACGAGAGATGACATATTAAAGACGAGTTAAAACCATCAATGACTTTACCATTTAATTCTGTCGTTCCAATTAAACGATATATAATTCAGAATATATATGTATCGTTAATAAATAAATACACGTGGATTATAACTGGATTTTCTTCGAAATATTTATTGGTACAAATAAAGCAGAAATATAAGAGCTACACTTGCTACACTTACCACTCTCGGAGGTGAACGCATCACTTCGGTAGGTCAGTGCATGTCAGACACGCACGTAATTGGTATCTATCGGAAACACGTCAAGATAAGATATCTTGGTTCGCAACGTTATCGTGCTCGTCCGTGTGACGAAACGTGGTAGTCACTTTTTCTCTCTCTCTCTTTTTTTTTAACCGAAACGCCGGCGTTTAACTCTGGCCTCGTTACTTTTATCGGCAAATCTTAAAGATCGATCCAGTCTAGCGCAACGTGCCGCCGCGATCGTGTCGTCTCCTCCCTGATATTAACCGGTATACTGCTATCTTCGTGAAACGCCGTTTATACAGTCATCGATGCAAAATCCTGTCGAATAATTGACGGCAATATAATATCGATTATTTTCGTTTTATTTCACAACACGGCGAAGCAAGTGTGATCTTTACGTGAAATTCTTCCGGGAGCTGTAAATTATAATTAACTAAAATTAAGTTTCCCGTGTGGATTCAAGCGTGTCGATAACACACAAGGTATCGTTTCTTCTGTAAAATATGCAAATGCAAAGATGAATATTTTCATCTTTTTTTCCGCTGTTACAATTAAATCGAAATTTATTGTTCACCGTGGAGTAGATATTAATTAAATGTTAATTAGTTGTAAGCGAGTAATTAACGGAAGTGTCAAATGTAGTTAATTAAGGAAATGTGAGGAAGAAACGGGGTGGTGAAACGAGAGATATTTTGTCGACAGATCGGCGCAGGAGCCATGTCACCGGATCGGTGCAACGGATCGCGAGAAATCGACGTAGAACCGGGAGAATCGGATCGCCTGCCAGACACGCTTCGGATCGAGTGAAATCGAATGCGAAAAATCGTCGGCCAATAATCGAGGATCGACACACGTGATCGGTCCAACAGCTTGCAACCTACGGCCTCCCCGCTGGCCTGGCCAGCTACTATGCGAATTGAAGCTCTCAGCACCCTCGTCGCGGTAAGTTTCCCTATTCAAGTTTACTATCGCAAACCATTGCAAATTTTCTATTCCTATCCTTAGTATAATAAATGAATTCGAAAATCTGGTAAAATTGTTATTAAACACTTGGTATGCTAAAAAGTATACCACTTGGTATATTATTCGCACCTTTTATATTTAACACTAGAACAACCAAAACCCCCAAAATGACGGATTTCAGGTTTCTCACTTTAACCCCTTCACGACTATATTATTTTTTCAAAGAATTTGTTATTTATCTATCAATCATCTTGTCCATAATGGACCCTAAATTCAGATCAATTTTTGTTCGAGTACTCGAGTGCGTCACATATGCATCCCATTGATAACGAAAGGGTTAAATTTACAATATCGTTAATTATTATGAAATACTTAATATATCTTAGAGTACATATTTTCTTATAATTCGTAACTTTTATATTTAACACTGGAACAATCAAACTCGTCAAAATGACGGTTTTCAGATTTCTCACATTGAACTGCAAAAATTATCAAGTGTGCAAAAAGTATCAAGTTTGTCCAAGTGTACGATGACTTTTGTTGAAATAAAGAAATAATTATATATTCCAATTTATTTTCCAATAATCGTTCCAATTTTCTCTGGTATACCTAACTATACCAGAAGGGAAAACATACTGTATTCAATTCTGGTTGTTCCAGTGCTAAAACCAAGTATTTTCGAACTTCACTCAGAAACTTCCCCGGTATCACCTTTTTTCACCGTAGCTTCCTGCATATATTCCACGAATGTTTCATATTTCGTTGGGAAAACAATGTTACGTTTGTTCGAGCGGCAGGGGCTAAAATAACGCACGCATAAATCTAGCTTATTGCGACAATAAGTAATCCTGCACACGTGTTGGTGTCTCGTGCGAATACCAACGCAAACGATAACCATGATAACTATCCGGATTTAAATCATCGGCCATAGAGAGAGTGGGTGTAATTACCATACTATTCTCACGTGCTTTCTGCGACGTGCAGCCCACAAGAATTGCACGGCTGAAGTTTATCTTACAACCGCGTGGATTTCAAGATTCCTCTCCACGAAGTTGACAAATTTACAATCACGTTTCACCTTCGTTTTCTTTTTTCTTCAGTTCGTCCTTTTTCCTTCGGCCTCGCCCGTCTTGTGCTCCTTCACAGCTCACCGTTGGGCGTCTTCGGCATATTTTATTGCCATTTTCGGACATGATCCCTGTGGTCAAGCTTAAACGACGGTTAGATTTATAATGACGAAAATTTCTAGCCCACGCGGTCTTTCCATCCGTCCTTCCGTCCAGGATCTTTTTTATTTCTTTGAATGCTTCTTTTATGAGCGTTACGAAATAATCCGGCGTAGGAGATAAATGAAGCAATATGAAGTTACCGCGTTGTAAATCACTCTCCACTTTGTTGCACTCGTCAGGTGTCCTTGGTGTTATAACGAATTAGCTTAACCCTTTAAAGCTCACATTTTTCTCAAATTAGAGTAAGATCAATTAAACCTCTGAAATCTTCTCAAATAAGATAAATTCTTTTTTTATTATTTTTCCTAGGCGTATAAAAATTAATTTTCCGTTATTCATAATGCTGTAACTCACTTTTTTAATGAGATAATAGAAAGAATAATACAGTATAGAAATTGAAGGAAAATAATTTTAAAAAATTAGTTGTGCACGTGTAAGACACTGGTATGAACGTTAAGAGGTTAAAAAATAAAGCTTAGATAAATTACGACTGATAGTAACAATAAAACCTATCTCGTATAAATAAATAAAGGAATTCAATATTGTTGCACTCCTTTCTGTGTCACATATCCTTGGCTCTGTAACAAATTACCTTAAAAAACAAAGCTCGAATAACTTACGAATAATAGAAACAATCTAACCAAGGAATTGAAAATTGAAAGCAAACACCCGACTTCGATACCATCTATCGACCCACATGCATACGTTAAACCATTGTGAACCATAGGTTGGACATCGGAGTTATTCACCCCCGTCGAGCAGGAATCTACAATGTCTCTCGCACCTGTGCGATATAATTCGCTGGATTTTTCTTTTCTTTCGTATTCCGTTCAGAGATTTTAGCGAGATTACGAGGGATAGTATTTCTCGTGGTCAGGACACGTTAGACTGAACTCGAGGTTCGTAAGCCGCGTTTTTCACGACACGGTTATTCGTTCGGCGGCGTTGCGAGAATATCGGGAACGCATTGATTTTTCCGGCGAAGATCGATTACCGTCGGTGCAAATTAATAATCCAGCCTTTCACCGCGAGATTTCCAAGGCGATTCGCAAGTCTCGACGCGTAGATCATAATATTGATCACGTTGCCAGCTACAATGTAGCGAATTGTGGCGCCGTCCTGGCATTTCTTCTACCGTAGCAACCGAAAATAGAAGTCTCTACCCTGTTCGTGATTTTTATTCTCACTACCCTTGCAAGTTAGCTCTGTGGCAAAATTATTGGGTAATTGTCAGTGTCTTCGGGGTGGAATCACTTTTAACCCTTCGTTTGCAACCTGGGTCATTAATGACCCAGGGCAAATTTCACTCTTGCGTTCCTTCGAGAAGAATTTTTATCGAAAACAGTTTGACAAATTTGAGTTAACGAGCAATTGTACGATGTAACAGATACTTCGACTAGTATCCCAGAATTTTTTCGAATTCATTTAACGTCCGGAACAATAAAAAAAAAATTAGATCTGCGAAGTGACAGAAAATATGTTCGCTCGCGGAGGGTTAATACGATCGAACTCGCGGAGAGAAAAAGATTGCAGTCACGGCTGTGCTAAGAACAATGGAAAGATTCCATCTTAATCCTCGTTGTAAATTACTTCTCATCAGAG